CACTGTACAGTCTTCTGCGCCTTAAAATTCCACTAATACAACATATTAGTGAGAATCTCACAGTTTCAAATAATACTTAAACACAAATTATCTGAAAACCTGAGACCTGAAAAACAACAGACGGAAGTACTGACGCATTCCAGCCATAGTAACTCTGAAGGTCAAGATACTCTCTGAACTAGTAAACAAATGATTCACTTACAGCTTTAATAGTACACTGCAGTATATTACCCCACAGTGCTAGCTTATGGAACATGAATTCCAATGTCTGCTGTTACTTGATATGCTGCTGGATGAGAAAGAAAAGAGACTAAACAACTATAGAGGACATGGCCTGGGTGCCTGTGGAGTAGGCTGCATTGCTTTGAGGTTCCACTTAGAGAACAATAAAGCCAGTTTTCTGAGTTTATAAAATTTGTTACAACTGCTCCTACAACTTCACAGTATCCCTTCCATCCTTGGGTGTTTAGCACCACCTAAGTGTTTTCCAGAGACCCCTTGCCGCCAGAAGATTCTCTGGTTAAAATGCATTAAAGCATCACAAAAATTCTTAATGTTATAGCAACCTACAGTTCAGCAATGCACCAATGATCAATAACATGACATTTGAAGATCCAATGTGAGGTGATGGGACTTCTGCACAGGGTGGAAGGCACCCAACTTGAGTCCTTTCTAAAACACCTACTGATTTCCCTGTTTCGGCACTCCACTACATTTATCGTTAAGCTACTCAAAGAGCATTCTTCTTTAGTGATACAGCGAAATGTACTCCATTTTCTTCACAGAAGAGGAAGTCTACCCAGTGAAACTTTGTACCACAAAGGTGGTAATACTGCATCTTTGGATCCAAAGTAAGCATTCTACTCAGTGTAGTGGTCTTACCTAAGAACGTCTTACTACACATACTCTCAGCACATATGTATTTTTTAATTGCACGCCAATATGCGGCTGCTCGGCGTCAAGGCCCAGATGCCGAGAGGCCTGCATATTTGCATGTGATCAGCATCAAGGGGTTAAAAAAAAACAAAAACATTGATTTGAATATAAATTTTAAGCTTTGCCAAAAAACCTGGAAGCTGATTAGTTTATATGCTCTAAAGTTTGAATAAATCAGTCCCACAAATTGTACATATCAACAGTATGTAGAAAAAAATAAAAAAATTAAAAATTGCATAAACTGTAATAGACCAGTATAGGCTTCCCTTTAAACTGAACAGAATGCATGTACATAAAGCCAAAAATCTTTTCTTCTGCATAACAGCTGAAATACAAGGTGTGGAGGCCTATTGTTCTCAATACCTTATCTACAAAAGAGTAATGTCTAGTACACACCATGAGAAAATTGGTAAATGATGGTTCTTGGTTTTTTGCATGCTACTCTCATATCGAATATGAGAGTGCTACCAAACAAACACAAATTATCCTTTGATCCAGTACAGCAGAGGTGCTCAACCTTTTGAAGAGCGAGGGCTTAAGTGATTTGGTAAACATGGGACTACACGGTCCCCCCTTGGAGCATGGGGCCGGGTCGCTACTGTGACCCCTGGTGCTACATCAGTGGATGGGGGTGGTAAAACACATCTCAACTATGGGGTTTTTTAATGCCCCCAAACTACAAGGGTGGTGCTCACTGGCCTGAGCCCCTATAAGGCTGCTTTCACATTGATGCGCTGTGGTTTACCCGCACAGCAGGTGCAGCACAGCGCATCTGCAAATTTCCTGTGGGTTAGCTGCACTGTGCCATACATGTTTATTAAATCTTGTGGGTGTCCTGGACTTTCTGAAAGCATACCAAACCCACAGGATATAATAGAAGTCTAGGGTTCAATACAGTACTGATCACGTCACTGCACCCACCGATCAGTGTGACAGCAGCCTAATAGTTGTTAACCCTTTTATAGGGGCTAATATGCCCATTGCAAAAGTGCAGTGTGTGTGTTGTTCAGTGCACTGACTTTTTTCCTCTTCCCCCGCTTCTGCTAGCATTGCTCTCCAGGCCTCTAGAAAGATCCCAGGCAAAGTATGCTCCACTTGGCACAGGAGCCGGCGCTACAGAGGAATCATCAGCTTATCCAGCTCCTGCTCTCTCCACAGCCGCCTGCTTCCTCCGCTGCTGGTGCAGGATCAATGCACTCTGATCCTCTGGGATGGCGGGTCGGTATGCCCAGATTGTGATCAATGGGTTGCTGACCCTGGACATGTGCTTCCCTGTTTGACACAGAGGTCCATATCACAACATGTAGCCCCCCTGCAGTACAACTTCCCATGTACGTATCAATGTATCAGTGTGTAATCGGAAGTAACGTCATGTGCATGTGACCTCTCTGTTTGCTGCACCTTCAGCTCTACCCATTCAGAGTGTTGCGGTATATTTGTGCATTGGTCTCCGCACATAGATTTGTTATCACATCCTGAAAACATTTTTTTTCTTATTTATCAGCATTTTCATTGCATATGAATATTTTTTTCATTGCCCTTTTTCCTTTTGGGTTGTTTTCATGTTTTCGAGCATGCGCAGTCTTGGTCACTCAATTTCTTATAGATGAATACTATATCGATTAAACAAAAATAGTTTGTTCTGCTATCTTACAAGAACATTTTGGGTGCTTGTCCCTTCGGATAATTTCGCATGAGCTGTAGCTCTCGAAAGCTGTGTACTAATGAACAGATTATTGGAAGATTGCTCCAAATGCGTATTTTTTTCCATCCATTTTATTCTTTGTGTGTATCAGGCATAAGGCCTGGATTGACACTGGACAAACTATTGAGCTACATTGTTGTTCTTTCCAGTACCAACATCATATATCTCTAAATTCTGTAGCTACTAGATTGCTCTTGCCTATAGTTACAAAAATGGTAAAATAAAGCTGAAGCCGGAAGCTGACCAGATGCATTGCACTTTCTTACATTCCTGGCAGCGTAAAGTCTGCAATCAGACAGAAAGCTCATTGCACACATACAAATACAACTTTTCAATCTTCTCTGATACAGAATGCTTTGTTGTGCAGTTTTATGAAAGCTTTACAAATATGGGGGTGTGCTAGTACTGACTTCATATGAAAAAGCTCACATTTACAGTTTGTTCACTGGTCACTTAAAGGAAAAATCTAAGACATGATTGGAGGAGGGGTTTGAGGTTGGAGAGATTACAGCCATAACATATTTTTGTGCATATGTTTTATAACTAGGTATACAATGTCTGCACACTGACCTAGAATCTCATAGAAAGGTTGCATTGCACAGGATACAACTATGATATACAGTGTAAGTAGTAAATCAAATGTTCCGTACAAAGTCTTTATTATTGGTGCACATAGTAACTGATGTAGAGATAAAGTTTCTATTGAGATCTTTTATAGGCATAGGTAAAACTTTATGTCAGTTTCTTAGGCAGATCATGTTAAAAGTGACCTGCAATATTCACCAAAGTGAATCAACAAGCTTCAGGTAAGGTCTTGTGGCTTCCAGAGAGCCTATGGTTTCTGGGTTGATAAACGTTCCTTGAGCAGTAGCAGATTGACACTGACATTGATGCTAATGATCTTTTTACCTGTCTGAAAGGAATGGGAGGAATTCTTCTCACTTACCCCGAAGGCTCCATACACACTGGGCGTTTTGATAACACTGGTAACATTAGTTGTGTAAAGTCACATTAAAAATGTGAGTTTTCAGCTTTTTTTTAGCGTTTTTGCATTAGCGTTTAGCGGAGTTTTGCCGTAATTAGCGACTTTTTCCGTGTTTTTCCGTGTTTGTGGTTTTTAGTGTTTCTTTTTACCACAAAAAAAATTGATGGGGTCAAAAAAATGTCCAAAAATGCCAGTATGCAGCGTTTTACAGCGTTTTTCAACGTTAGAGTGTTTTTACAGCTAAAAAACTCCTATAGAAACCCACTAGTTTTTGGGTTATTCTCCAGCCAAAAAAACACTGATTACAGTCTATGTGTGTATGGACACATAGGATAACATGCTGGGGGGGTTTACTGGCTATAGAAAAAAACATGAAAAGCCAAAAACAGCCGCTGTAAAAACGTCCAGTGTGCATGAGGGCTAAAGGTGTACTTCTCCACTGACCAACTATGCAAGGAGACATTCTTCACAGAGCAGAAATGTAAGGAGGAACCTCTCCGCTGACCACCAATGTAGTAATGCATTTCTTCACAGAGCACAAATGTAAAGGGACACTTCTCCACTGACCACTAATGTAGTAATGCATTTCTTCACAGAGCACAAATGTAAAGGGACACTTCTCCACTGACCACTAATGTAGTAATACATTTCTTCACAGAGCAGAAATGTAAGGAGGAACCTCTCCGCTGACCACTAATGTAGTAATACATTTCTTCACAGAGCAGAAATGTAAGGAGGAACCTCTCCACTGACCACTAATGTAGTAATGCATTTCTTCACAGAGCACAAATGTAAAGGGACACTTCTCCACTGTCCACTAATGTAGTAATGCATTTCTTCACAGAGCACAAATGTAAAGGGACACTTCTCCACTGACCACTAATGTAGTAATGCATTTCTTCACAGAGCACAAATGTAAAGGGACACTTCTCCGCTGACCACTAATGTAGGAATGCATTTCTTCACAGAGCACAAATGTAAAGGGACACTTCTCCACTGACCACCAATGTAGTAATGCATTTCTTCACAGAGCACAAATGTAAAGGAATACTTCTCCAATTTTTCTTTATTAAAAGTCTCGCAATCAATAAACATAAAATATTATACAGAATATAAAAAAATTTATATATATTTACAGCAAAACGAAAATAAACATAGCAAATTCTGCTGTCAGACAAAACCAAACGCCTCAGAAATGAACTTGACATAATTGGGGAAATAAATCGTACTACCACTCACATCACTACACCAGACATCAAACCTGTGAGGTCAAAAAACCACCCCGCCCCCCTTATGCATGCAGCTCTTCTTCAAAAAAGATCTTAATCAACAAAAACTACGGGAGTGAAAAGAACAGTATAAGGAAAGAGCCCCTCACCCAGAGATGGACAGTTCACCAAAGGCAGGTCTGATATTCCTCCATGCCCTTATCCAGACCGCCCGAGGCTCTCTGACCCTCTCAAGACCCCGAATCTTCCCAACCTCACCCAGAATATCGTGCACCACCACCTCTACAGGGAGGACTTTCTTCCGGATGGTAATCTGACACCGTGCGTTCCATGTGAAGTAACGGACAACTATACTAACTAGAAAAAGTGTATCCAAATCAAAGTCCCAGCAAGCTGGGAATGCCCCGTACACCCACTCTGCATAACTCATGCGATAGAGAAAGGGGATGCCCAGAGCCCTCCCCACCCTTTTATACACCTCTATGTTAAAGGGACACAGGAGCAGAAAGTGGTCCATAGACTCCACTTTACCAACACACTCTGCTCTAGGACAATCCCGATCATCCACAGGGCGGTGCTTCAGGTTCCCTCTCACATAGAGCCTTCCATGGAAAGCGAGCCAGGCTTGATCCCTAAACTTCAAAGGGATTCTCTCCAAGTTAATTAAACGCAATCCCTCCCTCATTACGGAGCCTGGGCAATCCTTTAAGGCCAGTGACACACTGAAAGCAAAAGCCAAAATCCTCTCCCCCAGAAGCTTCCTGGGAAGGGACCTGATATCCTCCACTGTCACCTGCCACTGCCGAAGTATTTTCAGACACGGGGCAACATAAGCCGGGAGCTTGCCATGTCGGACTCTCAGACTTTTCACTGGGCCGCCATCTTCCCAGCAATGCAGAAAAGGCCTAAACCAAGACTGAAAAATACCCACCCATCCCGGCGGGGTCTCTGCTAACATATTACCAAGATTGTACTTTAAAAAGAGCAAAGAAAAGAAAACTATCGGGTTGACCATTCCTAGGCCACCCTCCCGCCTGGACAGGTAAGTTACATTGCGTTTGATCAAGTTCAGCCTATTTCCCCATAACAGTTGGAAAAAACAGCTGTAGACCCGTGCATAGAGAGATACCGGCAAGATACAGACGAAGCTGACATATAAAAAGATCGGGATCAGGTAAGTTTTGATCAAGTCAACCCTCTCTCTTAAGGAAAGCCTCCATCTCTTCCAGCTCGCTACTTTGGCATTGGCAACTACCAACCTGCTTTCCCAGTTTCGATGACCATAGTCACCAGGACCAAATTTGATGCCCAAAATTTTAATTTCCTGCTGGGGCTCTGGGAAGGCATCCGGAAGTTCGAAGCTTTCACCCTCCTCACCCATCCAGAAAACTTCACTCTTTTCATGGTTGACTTTAGAGCCAGAAGCCTCCGTGTACTGCTCTATCACAGAGACCACCTCCTGCGCCTCCTCAGTCCCAGAGATAATAACAGACACATCATCAGCATAGGCAATGACCTTCAAAGGCGGCACACCAGCAATGCCCAGAGGCACCCCGCACAACGATGCGCCCTCTAGCCTTCTTACAAAGGGGTCGATTGCGAAAGCATATAGCAGGGGGCTCAAAGGACATCCCTGGCGCACACCAGAGCCGACCTCAAAAGGCCGCCCAACCCAACCATTAACAAGTGGGAAGCTCTCAGCCCCTTTATATAATGTCTTCAGCCAATCTATAAACCTCCCCTGCAGGCCATATCTACCAAGCAGCAACCACAGATATTCATGATTCACTCGATCAAAAGCTTTTGCCTGATCCAATGCCAGCAAGTACTTTCTCCATCCAGCAGCCCTGCATCGTTCCAAAGCCTCCCGGATAGCCAAAACCGCTGAAAAGGTACTTCTACCTTGGACCGAACAGTGCTGATGGCTGGACAACAAATCGCCTGCTACTGACGACAAGCGCCAAAAAATAATCTTTGCCAAGATCTTTCTATCAACATTGAGAAGACTGATGGGGCGCCAGTTCTCAATCATTGAGGGGTCTTTACCTTTTGACAGAAGAATCACAGCAGATTGCCTCATGGAGGGAGGGAGCGAACCCTCTTCTAGACAGCTATTAAAAACCTCCGCTAAAAAGGGAGCCAGAATGGACTTAAAACACTTGTAAACTTCAGCTGTCAATCCATCTGGCCCAGGAGATTTTTTGGTAGCCAGCTTGTCTATAGCATGAACTACCTCATCCGCTGAAATTGGTTCTGTCAAATTCATCAAAAGCAATGCACCATTTCCCAATCCTGGAGTAGAATCCAGAAAGCTTTCCATCCTGTCCCGGCTAAGGTCCTTTCTTCCCAGGAGGTCTGCATAATACGACCCAAAGATCTCCAAGATCCCTGATCTGGACTTTATCAGGGAACCCGTACTGTCTTTCAGGCCAATGACCGTCTTAACTGCTATGCCTTGCTTACAGTTCTGGTAAGGATCAGGTGAGTGATATTTCCCATAATCCCTCTCCAGAATCAAGGAGGCATGCCGGTTGTATTGACACTTCCTAAGAAGAAGTTTCACTTCAGAGATCTCCCCTGGATCTCCTCCATACGAGACAAGACGATCAAGCTTCCTCCGCAAATGCTGGTAGGCAATATACATACCAAGCTGCTTCTTCTTACTTATGGCCTTGAAAAGTCCAATCGCCCTTTGTTTCACAAGCTCCCACCACTCTGACTTACTGCTGCAAAAATCCAGAATAGAAACCTGTGCCTGAAAAAAATCCTCAAAGGATTGTCTTACCTCTACATCTTCCAGGAGAGCCGAATTCAGTTTCCAGACACCCCTTCCCCTGGGTGGAGTGTCCGAGGCATTCAGAGTCACAGACAGCATACAGTGGTCAGAGAACTCCACCGCCTTCAACTCAGGAGCCGAGAAAGCAGAGTTCTCCTTTAAAAAAAACCTGTCTATCCTGCTATGACTATTCCCTCTCTGAAATGTGAACCCCGTGCTGCCAGGGCAGTGCTTAATGTGCACATCTACCAGGCCTGCCTGTCTAACCAAATCTCTGAGAAAAACGCTATCATAACCCAGCCTGTCTATGGAGCCTCTCCTGTCTTCAGGCCTAATTATGGTGTTAAAGTCACCTCCAAAGACAACCTGCTGGGACGTAAAAAGGAAGGGCTTGATCTTTGTGAGGAGGCATTTCCTGCCCCATTTTGACTGGGGACCATAGATATTGATCAGGCGCAGGTCCTGCCCCCTAACAGAGACATCTAAGACCATGCATCTCCCCATTTCTACCTCAATTACCCGCCGGCACGTTACCATATCGGTTTTAAAAAGGACCGCAACTCCGCTGCAAGGTTCAGCCGCAAGGGACCAAAAGGAGGGACCACATCTCCACTCCCTTTTTGCTAGATAGACATCGGCCAATGTATTGAGCCAGGTCTCTTGCAAAAATAAAATCTCAGCATCAAACTCGCTGAGCAAAAATAAGGCCGTATCACGAGCTCTTGCAGATTTAATGCTGGCGACATTAATGGTCGCCACCTTTAACAGAGTGGGAACTGCCATCAGGATGATTGGGGTAGTTGTTTCTTAACCTCTACCACACTCTCATCACCCGAAACAGCTCTCTTCAGAGTATGTGACTCCCCCTCATCCATAGATGATAGAGAAATGGATATATCCGATACCATCTCATCACCTGACAAAACTGAAAAAGTATTGCCAAGAGGGACCCCTCCTGGATCTGATTCTGAGGAAGAGAGGACAGCTCTTCTCATCCTCCTCTTCTTCTTCTTCCTCTTCTCCTTCACCCTCTCCCACCCTTCATCAGCCGAATCCCCCCCAGCAGGAGGTGAGACATGGGACATGGATACCCCTCCCTGAGCCCCATCGGCTCCACCCCCATCCGGCACCCCCACAACCTCCTGACCACGTTTGCGCTGACGGGGGACAGGTACCGGAGGTGGAGTAGGCCGAGAGGGAAGATCCGCTAAACCAGCCCCCCCAGCAGCTTCCGCCAGTCTGGAGGATCTACGTACTGTAGGATTAGGGACAGGAGGGACAGACTCAGGGGTGACATTACTGGGGGAAACACAATCTGACACAACAGAGGGAACAGACACAGGAGGGGCAACTACAGTTTCCTCCCTAGCATCAGCTGCCTCATCCTCTTTATCCAGCCTCTGCAGCTCAGCCTCCAGTCCTGGCAGGTTGTGTGGTGCCTCTGGGCACAGACTGTATGGATGACCCAGCTGCTGGCACAAATTACACCGAATTTCGGTGCATTCTTTGGCCAAATGGCCAAAATCCTGGCACAGTGAGCACTTCTTGATGGTGCAGGACGATGCAAAATGGCCTTTCTCTCCGCATTTGTTACAAACTTTAGGCTGACCTTGATAGAAAATGGTCAGCCTATCTCTCCCCAGAAAGGCTGAGCAGGGAAGATGCTGAACCACATTGCCCAGCACCCTCAATTGCACTGACACCGTCCAGGCCCCTGTCCATATCCTATGCTCATCCAGGACCTTCCGCAGTGGGGGTGAGGACCTCACCATGTCGGCATAGCCAAACTACCAAATCAGCCTCTGGTATGGATTCATTCCGGACCAGGATTGTCACCGATTTTATCAAAGGCTGTCTGGAAACAACCTTTGCCACCAAACCTTTCCACTGCTGAAGGCTCCTGCCCCTCCAATATCTCTCCCAAAACAGGTCCAGGCCTTCAGGTTTTACAAATGACAAATCGTATTCATAGCTGCCGACTGGGCAGATCAACGCAAACACATCACAGGCTTTAAACCCCATCTCTAGAATCAACTCCGCCACCCTCCCCCTTACTGGTGGGTTCCCTTCCCCCTCCCACTTCAACTGTACCACATTCCTTCTCCTGACCCCACCAACCATCCCACCACCAAACCTCCCCAAATTGTGACCATTAGCATTCCCAACACTACCCCCACCCCCCTTGGTGCGACTCCCCAAAACAGAGGCATAGCTCCCCCCAATCCTCCCAGCAGCAGAAACATTTGTATGTCTAGGAGCATCTGGTGCAACTCAAGCAGATACCGATTGCACAGATCTGGGATTGGATGGTGTATCCTCTCTCTGCTCAGCAGGGGGAGAAATGTCATTTTTACCTCCGTCAGCAATGTTAACCCCTTCACCTCCACCCACCACCAACACATCCATTGCTTTACCAGTCTCAACAGTCATAGACTTCACAGCAATGTCCACACTCACTGCTGCAACCATAGAAGCTCCATCAGTCATCTCTTGCTCCAAGAAAGAAGATTCAGCCCAGGACTGGATTGGATTCTCAGACACAGCAACAAGTGAGACATCCATGTGTGCTGTTTGCTCTCCACATGGTGCAGTGTGCTGCTCCCCTCCCCCACCAGCATCAATCAGCTCTGGAGCACCTGGGAGCTCAGGTGAAACAGTCTCTCTGCAGGTGGCAGCCATCTTGCCTGTAGAGGGACTACTGGTCTCAGCAGGAACAGCAGCAGCAATTTCCATCTGTGGGGTGCTTGGTGCAGGTTCACCCACATTCCCCTGATGGTCTGGAGACCTCTCTGCCAGGGATTTTTCCTCCATGTTGGATGAGGATTCCTCCACAGCAGGCTGCCTGCAGAGCTCCTCATCCACAGTACTCACCGCAGCAGGTGGGGCAGACATGCTGGGAGCAGCCATCTTGATATACTGGGATCTCTCCACCAGTCTTGGCTTTGCTGCTCTGAACCTCCTCTGTCCATCCTCAGGGACTTCTGCAGGGTCATCAGTGAAGGCAAACTTGTCTGCTCTCAGGGGAGACTCCATGTGCTGGATGAACTTCAAGGTTCCATATTCACCCTCAACCCCCTGGCTGGTTGCTACTGACAACTCCTCAGCCTGACATGGGGGGGGAGAGACGCTGATGTAGATGGTGCCGGGTCATCCATTACCTGAGGCTGCTGATCCACAGAGCTCGCTGATGTCTGGCTGGCAAATCTCCTCTCATTATCAAATTTTTCTTTAAATGCTCCACTTCTTGCTTTCAACTTTTCTAATAATAAAGATTGTCTCTTTACTTTATCCTCCATGTGCTGGAGCGCTGGCTTCATGCCCAATCTGTTCTTGCTCCAGGCCTGGCAGTATTTGGCTCTGAAGGATTTGTGTTCAGATTTTAAAACATTAAGTTTCTCCTCAGCTCTTCCAATAGTCACCAATCTATCAGTAATCTTCTGTCTGAAGACACCGACATCCTCACCAGGGCTGGGACCCACAGTCAGGTCCTCCACCTCCTCCTCTTCACTAGGCCCGGTCTCATCAGGGGAATCCCTCCCAGGGCCTCCCCCTGGATCAGGCATGGTTCCTGGGCCAAGCTAGCAGGCAAGGCCCAGGCTTGAAAATGCTGGTTCTCAGGGAGAGCTCCTTCAGTGTGTCCTCCTCCTTCTCCCACTGACCACCAATGTAGTAATACATTTCTTCACAGAGCACAAATGTAAAGGGACACTTCTCCACTGACCACCAATGTAGTAATACATTTCTTCACAGAGCACAAATGTAAAAGGAACACTTCTCCACTGACCACCAATGTAGTAATACATTTCTTCACAGAGCACAAATGTATAGGAACACTTCTCCACTGACCATCAATGTAGGAATGCATTTCTTCACAGAGCAGAAATGTAAAGGGACACTTCTCCACTGACCACCAATGCAGGAATGCATTTCTTCACAGAGCACAAATGTAAAGGAACACTTCTCCACCGACCACCAATGTAGTAATGCATTTCTTCACAGAGCACAAATGTAAAGGGACACTTCTCCACTGACCACCAATGTAGTAATGCATTTCTTCACAGAGCACAAATGTAAAGATTCACTACAATAATCACCAATGTAAAGAAGCATTTCTTCACTGGCCACAAGGTGAGTTGGCACTTCTCAACTGACCACCAATGTAAGGACAATGTTATGTTGCTACTTTTTTCATGAAGAAAGAATACAGCCATATTCCGAAATGCATAGAAAAAAAGCAACACAAACGTTTAACTACT